TACTAGAAAGATATTCATACCTCCAGTTCGTTTTCGTCAAAGATCTTGATCAGATCTATTTGAATGAGCTCAGTGAAGCCCTGAAAATTAAACAAAAGGAATTATAATAACAAGTAAGCAGGTTTAGAAGAATTTAATTTCAACTCTTAAACTAAGTAATGCTAAAATAAACTGGTCCTTATATAGCACTTTTCCACTTTTCTATACAACAACCATTCACACAAGCACTTTTCTATGCTTTGTTTATGTAAGTGCTTTCTAGCTAACATTCACACACATTCATACTTGGAGTTAGTATCTTGGCCAAGGATATTAGGCATGAAGACTGGAGCAGCCAGCGATCGAACCACCAACCTTTCGATTAGTAGATGACCTGCCTCTTAGGCTCTTAGTTTACCTAAGCCTTTGGGGTAGCTAACTAAAAATCAGTGGCCACATTGCCCTCGAGTGGTAAGCATATGACTGTACATAAATACCTCCAAGAAAGCGTTCATCTGCTTCTGGACCCGATTGACAAATCTCCACTGAATGACGAGACTGACGGAGGGAAAATTCATATATTATTGTAGATGAGCAGATGATTGCAATTTTGTTTATAAACATGAGTCAACGGATGACATGAAAATCAAAATACTTACTCTATGTATTCCTTCTTGTTGTCATTGGTGACCACCATGTCTGAGCCACTGGGCTTCAAGTCAACCTGGTAGGTCTGAAGGATATAAAAAAAAAAAAAGAAGCTGAGTTTTCTTCTGATACGCAATAACATTAGTATACTGAAATTAAAATGAGGTTTTAACTGATTAAAAGTGACTGCTTCGATGCCTGCACACCTGCCCAAAATTGTCCTCATCAATGCAAAACCTCAAGTCCAGTTCAGTGGGATCATTCTCCAGAATCCACTTCAGAGAGTTGTAGTACTCACTGTCCTATTAGACACAAAGAAAATTAAAGAATTCATTGGCCTTCACTTGTGATAAAGAAGAGTTTGACTTCATCAATGTGAAACTGTTCCAAAGAAAGCTAAGCAAAAATATATGTATTTATTTTAGTAAAACAAGTTCAAGGAATAAATATTTCACAGATCCAAAGTCACTGGTTCTGTAGTGCAAAAGAAACCTTACCACAGACTCCATGTCTTTAAGAGAGATCTGTTTTCCTAGCATCATCTTATAGAATGGTCGGATGAAAAAACCTGAAAAGAGGCACAAAAAAACCCCCCAAAACATGATGATAATCATCAACATCACTTTTATTTTCTACATTCTACAACACGTTTAAAAACACAAGTGACAAAGTGCTTTAACCGAGCTAAAATTCTGTGCCAACTTTGCAATATCAAAGCAATCCTCTACAATCAAGTCGCCTACCATCCA